TGTGTGTGTGTGCAATGCACACATATATACCTGACCCGTGTGTGTATATGAGTGTGTGTGTATGTGTGGTTTGTGAGTGTGTGAGTCTGTGGTGTAGATGTCTGTGGTATGTGTGTGTGAATGTGTGTGGTACGTGTGAGTGTGTGGTGTGTATGGTGTGTGGTGTGTGTGTGTGTGTGTGAATGTGTAGTGTGTGAGGGTTGTGTGTATTGTATGTGAGTGTGTTATGTATGTGGTGTGGTGTGTGTGTGTGTGTGAATGTGTAGTGTGTGAGAGTTGTGTGTATTGTATGTGAGTGTGTTATGTATGTGGTGTGTGTGTGTGTGTGAATGTGTAGTGTGTGAGAGTTGTGTGTATTGTATGTGAGTGTGTTATGTATGTGGTGTGTGTGTGTGAATGTGTTTATGTGAGTGTATGGTGTCTGTGTGTCTGGCTTGGATCCTTATCTCTGTGGCCTCAGTCAAGTAGAGCGAGCTCTCTGGCTTTCACATGCCCATCAAACATCCAGAGGGGAGCACCTCGGCTCACGTGGTAGCCGCATGCAAGCCCGCTGGTGTCCTCTCCCACGGGCCCCAGAGCAGAGGCCTCAGTCCGGCAGGGACAGGCTGTAACCCGAGTGCCTTTGCTCAGAGGCTGGCTCGTGACAGATGGGTGATAAAGGGCGGAAAATAGTTCCTGGGGCCTGTGCAGTGTCATGGCTACACTGTGCTGGCTGGGAAGGGGGCTGGCATCCAGGCGCTGTCCTTCACTCGGGAAAATGACCGAGCAGCTGTCTTGCTTTGTGTCAAGGCCACATTCCTCTAGGCCAGGGGCAAGAAGGGGGCACTGTGCTCCTAGGAGAGAGGAATCCAGACCCAGGTAAAGAACGCTGACAGCCAGGCCTCAGGCCAAGCTTTGATGTGGCACCCTCAGGTTTGGTCAGGTGAGCATGGTGTATGCAGACAGCGAGACAAGCCCAGAGAGAAGGGTTCTGTCCCCGTCAGTCCTGGTGGACCAAACTGGGGACTCTGGAGCTCCTGATTCTTTATTAGATGCCAAATCTCAGCCAGCCCCCAGCCTGAAGACCCTCTAGAGTCTAGATTGTCTTCCCCCCTCACCTTTCTGGGAGTCAGCAGTGGCCCCGTGCCACATACCGCCCACCAGCCTGGCTTTCTGTACATCTGCACCTGCTGTGTTTCCCTTCACGTACCTCCACAGTCTGTGACAGGTTCTGGAGAGTCTCTTGGTGGGCAGTGTGCCAGGTGCAACAGCTGGCACATGAGCGGTTTCAGCACTACTCACCCGCCCTTCCAGCCTGGCCAGCCCCACACAGGGAAGGTCCTTCCTTCCCGAGCTCTGGCCGGTGGCTGGCACTGTGCTTGGTAGTAGCCACGGCTGCCCTTGCCCACCCCTCACACTTTCTCTATGTTGGGGACCTGGAGGGGCGGGGTGTTCCTACATCTGAGCAGTGCTGGATTTCCTGGCTGACTTGCTGGTAAACCACCTCTTCTGGAGACACCCTAGAGGGGCTGCAGGTGGCCTGGGGTGCTGGGAAGGCAGAGCCTCTACAGGGCTTTCCTTACACACACACACACACACACACACACACACACACACACACACACACACGCACACTCATGGGTCTATGCGCTCAAATACCCCCCCACACTCTCCCACACCGAGACCTGCCCCACCTGGGCTCCTGTGGCACTGTGTTTGTCCTGCATGCGCTTGCCCACCTGCCTTGTCCTGTGATCTGCTGCCGATCAGAGCCGCGCACGGGTCAGGAACCCGAGCTGTAGCTCACAGGGCAGCTGAGAAGTTTCCATTACTGGGACACGGGGGCAGTGGCCTCAGCAGCCTTGAAGGCTGGCAGATCGTCGGCCTCTAGTTAGCTGGATCTATAGGGGGCCTGTGGTACACAGGGCACCCCCTAGAGTTGAGTTTCATCCCAAGCACCTCAGCAGCTTGGCCACAGGCCCACAGAGGGCCTCGGACAGGACAGAGGCTGCTTTCGCTGTTCCTGTTCCCAGCTGGAAAGGAAACAGGAAGCCGTGGACACTCCTTCCCCCACTCACCTCCCCTTTTGCAGGGCGGGAGGCAGAATTCAGGCCAGGCAGGCAGTGGGGTCCCTGGAAGGGCTGGCGTTCCTAATCCGGTGCTCCCTCCAGGAATAGTCTGGAAGCTCCCCAGATGCCAAACATTCCTGACTTAATCGAGAAGGCTCCTAGTGAGGCTGGTCTCTGCTGGCTTTGCTCACACACCCCTGGCCAGGGACCAAGGAGCAGGAGCAGGCACTGGGCTCCTGCTCCCCCTTCCCCCGGGCCTTGTTCAGGTAAGATGTGGGGTCTGCACAGCTCAGTGGCGTTTGGCTCTCGTAGCGACAGAAGTATAGGTGGCTGTGTGGATGCGGTTGGGGTGTCTTAGCTGGACAGAGTGGACCCTCCCCTGAGCAGGGCCTAAACTGGGGGGGGGCCATCTCAAGTCACTTGCCAGCCGCCTAGGTACCCGGCAGGTCAGAGGTCTGCTCTGCAGCAGTGCCCAGCAGATGAGGTCATCAGCCCAACGGGACACACCCATGCAGGGAAGACTGACCCGTTCTGTGTTCTGTCTGAGGCAGTACTTACTTGCTGTGTGGCTGTGCCCTCCAGCGTCTAGGTTTGAAGTGGTCACCTCCCTGATCCTCCCAGAGATGTCCTGGCCTCGGGCAGGGTGTGGGCTTGGGGCTCTTGAAGCCCTAGGGTCAAGTGTAGTCACCCAGAGCCCTGGAGCATCAGGCAGCTGGGTTGAGAATAAGCCTCCCTCTCCTCTCTACACACGTAAGGACACACGGCGTTCTGGGATTACCAGCTGCTGTGGTTTATCTACAACTGTTCGCACCTTAGGAAGCTCCTCAGACCTTGTGAAAGGGAACGGTGGCCACCGGGAGAGTGTCCGCAGCGATTGTGTGATTTCCGCCCAGGCTGCCTCCATCCTGTGGCCCACCACAGTTGGCTCCCTGCCTTGCCTGAACCTGTCACTGGAAATCTTGGTCCCAAGAGGGAGGTCACACAGACCTGGTCCTCAGAGCTGTTTGACTCACCTGGCAGCCTCCTGGGTCCACGAGTGAAGAAGCTCCCATGCTCTACGGAACGACTGTGGGGCATGGTCCAGCATGGACCTGGTGGGTTTCCGTCAGCAGCACTCACTGTCCCCTCAGGAGGGCGGCTCTGAGCAGCACTGGTAGGCCACACTTGTCCCCACAGACTTCCTTCTGAAGGGGTTGCCTCTCCCCGCTCAGGGTGCAGTTTTTGCTGATCTGTGCTGAACCACAGAGCTCAGCAAGGGCTGAGCAATGACTGCCTCCCCCTTTGACAGAAATTGCAACAATCTTGAAGACAGGCCACTGGCTCCAGATATGGGAGGTGCCGTTTCCCAGGGCCCCAGTGGACAGTCAGCCGGGCCTGTAGATAAGGCCAGAGGTCAGCACTGCTATCCCTGCCCATCTTGGCCCAATTTGTTCATACCAAGCTAGTTCCGGAGCTGTGAACCTCTTGACATAGCTATACTCTGGAATTAAGGATACAGTGGCTATGTGAGGGTGATGGACAGGCCATGGAGATGCGGGGTGACTGTAGAATCCAGCCTCTGATTACACTTTAGATCTTTGACCTGGAGATGGGACCCAGCCTGGCCCAGGCTTCCTGCCTTCCCTGGGAGAACAGGGTCCAAGTTACAGATGGGCTGGCCCAGTCCCGAGGACCTGCTGAAGCCTCTGTTAGCTCATGAATGGCTTACAAAAAAGGAAAGGGAGGTCCTGGGACCAGGGTCTTTGAGTATGTGGCCTCTGCTGAACTGAGAGGCCAGTTGAGGTGCCCCTACCTTGTGGTTGCCCTAACAGCAGGGCTCACATCTGGCCACAGAAACCTCCACTCACCGCTTGCAGCCATGCCACTCAGTTGTGGGTGGGCACGCTTGGACCAGATCCTCCTCCTTTTTTTCTCATGCCACGGCCGTGAGTGTATCTACTTTCACTGTGCTGCAGATGTTCTGTAGGTGTGAGAGTGGAGGCTTCTCTAAGGAACAAACCTTTATTTGTGGCAACAGGTAAGCTGGGTTGGCCCCTGGCTGATGACCCTTACTCTGGGGATACTGCTACGGATGGCTGGGCGCATAGGGCACACAGCTTGGCCTTATCACAAGGAGGCAGACAAAACTTGTCTCCTAGAGCCCTGACCCAGCTTCTGGGTCACTGAGACCCAAGCCACACACACCAAGGCAGGGCAGGCTCTACCGCCCAGCTGGAGCTTCCCCAAACCCTTTCTCGTCTCCCTTAGTGGTGGGAGGAGGTAACGGCTGCTCCAGGAGATGACAGCATCTACTCGCTGTCCACTCTTCCTGGAGAGAAGTGTCACCTCTATTTGTTCTGTTCCTTTGGAGAAGCAGGGTGACATGTGTGGGTCACATCTCCTGGGCCTCCAGCCTGGCCTCTACCAGGAGAAATAAAGCTGGCACCAAGGGCATGGTGAATCTGGGTCCTTGAATCATTCTGGTCACTTGTCCAGGGACGCCTGGGGAGGGGAGTTAGCCTTGCCATCTCATGTCTGCCCACAGCTGGTGGCATCCCACTCTGTGGGCCATGGTATTGTCAAGGACCAGGAGGCCTAGGTTTGGTTCAAGCAGATGAATAAGTATCAGCCATGGCTTCTCTTCTGAAGGCAGTGGGAACGGCCAGAGTCATGTGCCACCTGTCTGCCCACCTCCACCCCCTCCCTGCTCTGTACAGCACTGCAGTCTATGTCATCTGAATGACATAGACCAATAGACTCCCTATGGCCCAGGCAGTGGACACTGGGGAAGGGCTGGTGCTGCTTTCCCTCGTGGGAAGGGCAGAGGCTGTGGGGGCTCCCCAGTTGCAGCTTCCCTGGACGCACAGGAAGAGCCATGAACATCACAGTGACCTTTGTGTTATCAGACCTTGGCTGTTTTCCAGTCCTTCACACTGCTGTTCTGTTCTGGCCTAGATGCTAAGGCTTCCTCCGGCCTTGTCTGGCTATAATGCAGAGGTCCCTTCCAGAAAGGCAGAATGGTGGGAAGGGCATAGGCCACGGACTACCACGCACTGGTTCCTGGGGTGGGCAGTGGGTAGTGATGGCATTGCAGGCTGGCTGGGGACAGGCAGGAGTTAGTTAGCCTCTGGGTCTGCTTCAGGGTCGGGGTGTGGGAGTAGGAGCTTATCTGCTAGAGCAGCAGGAGAATCTCCCAAGTAGAAATTTCCAGTCTAGAGGGTGTGGCTGGAGCCTGGGGGCCATTGCTGGTACTGTGACACAGCCCTGGGCTGCTGTCAGGGAAGGCAGACTTCTACCTGCCTTCCCATGGCCTTGGGACTTCATTCAGAGATGCTGTCTGGCATAGATTGCTGGGGTGAAGGGTTGTGACCCTGGACCACAGGGCCACTGGTGTGCCAGGCCTCTCTGATTATAGGGGCAGTGTTTTCTATAGTGTCAATCATCAGCCTCAGGTCTCCTGAAAGACTTGAGGTTGTGTGTGTGTGTGTGTGCATGCGCAAAGGGTCTGTGGATAGGAATGAGCAGCAGAGAACAAGGCAGAGAGGCAGAAGGTCCGGAGTGGCCTTTGGGCTGCAACCATGGGGCGGGGGTGAGAAGGGATTTGACTGGCAAGTTTGACGGATCCCTCCCTGGTACAGAGAAGGGCTTGGGCAGGGAGAGGCCAGGGCACAGGGAAACGGGTGGGGCACCACGAGAAGGCAGGAGTGCTCCTGCTGGAGGATGGCAGATGGACCAAGGGACGGCTGAGGACAAGCAGGGTGCTGGTGGCTGCAAGGCTTCTGGCTCAGGTATTCTGGCCAGGTGTGTGGGCAGGGAGGCCAGGGTGTTTCCTGGTGCTGCCAGAGCAAATGCTGCTGACTGGGTCAACCCTTCTTCCCCACTTCAGAGCTGAGCCATGGACTGAGAGCAAGACACAGCAGTACCTTCAAGGGTCTGGGGAGGGGCCCTATATGTCCTCTCCTCGCTTGTATAGATGCCTGCGCACCTGCTTGTGGCCTCTCCCTGCTTGGAAGCCAGGAATGGAAGAGGTCTTCTGATCAGCTTCTTCCTTCCCATGGGTAAGAACTGTGTGAAGCCTCTCCCCTCGCATTCACGACCGTCTTTTGAGCCTGCAGATCCTAAGCCTCCAGCAAGGCCAGTCCTGTCTGTAGCTTCTGTTCTCCATCTGGTAACCAAGTGTTCGGTAGCTGCCTGGCGAGTGAGCTATGACAGCAAACAATAGGAAAATGACAGACAGCATTTAGCAGATAGACGCAGCCAATGGCAGCAAAGCTTCATCACATCAGGGCTTTACTGAAATATGACTGAGAGTGAATGGAGGTAAAAATCATTAAAGTTGTCTGGGGAAACTGAGGCAGCTAACTGGAGTTTCGGACCCACATGTGTCTCCATGGATGAGCTTCTGGCTTCTCCTTCCCACTGCAGGCGTTTCTATGTGCTGTGACAAATAATGGCAGCTCTTGGAACTGCTTTACCTTCTAGCTGTTTGCTGTTTTCCCCTCACCCATTTCAGGTCCAGGCTGACCCAGGACAGGGGGCTTTGGAAGAGACAAGAGCCTGCCTCCTCAATCCCAGAGTCCTCTTTAAGCAAGCTTAAACAGCACATGGCAACTCACTAATACAGTGTATGCTGCACTCACTGAGCATGGCCCAGACTCGGGGACATGGAGTGAGGATGGAGATGTCTTTGAAGCATTATTATACTTTTCATAGGTAATTGATGAGTGAGTTTGGGGTGTCACAGGGATGAGAATACGAGAGCTGGGTAGAGATGGATGGAGACCTCCAAGGCCCGGGAATCGATATCTGTGTCTAGGGGTTCTCATGACATCTGAATGGAGGTGAGTTTCAGGTCATGCTCTGTGGCAGGCTGAACACTGGTACCCTGAAGAGATCTCTGTGAAGTTTTTGGAGTCTGTGAACAGAGCTCTTCTGGGGTGGTGTTTGCAAGTAAGCTGAGATAAGGACCTTAGGATGAAAAGAGGGCACTGGAGTGTCTGCCTTGTGGACATTGAAGGCCATTACATGAATTCTAAAGGGTCAGGGGTCAGTATAGAAGAGGAGATGGTATGTCACAAGGCACAGACTGATGGCAGGGTCATAGGTCATGCGTGTCAGTGGCCACCGAGAGCTGAAGATGCAGGAAGGCCTAAGCTGCCATGGCCTGCCGACACTCTGGGTTTGAGCATTCCCTCAGGTCTGATGCTCCCTCTGTTCTGTTGCTGGAAAGCTGGATTCTCAGAGACAGAGGCACATGGGGACCACATGCAGTCCCGGGTGCCCTAGATGAGGGGCGGGGCTGGGGAGGAGGAACCAGGGGCAAAGTTGGCTCTTGTGTGTGGTGTGCTGGGGAAGACCTGAGGGAGAAGGGTTCCAAGGTCACCCTTGGACATGGGTGAGAGGGTAACAGGTGGGCTTGGCCAGAGTAGATGATGGGCATGAGGGCAGGGAGCATGGGGAGAGGGAAGGAATGAGAGGACAGGGGAGTGAGAACAAGCTGTGGAATCCTGGGGCTGATACACCGCTCCAGTGACTATGGTACGAGCTTGGGCTAGGTCCACAGGCCCGGGAGTGAGGGGCCCTGTGGGGGACAAACTGTCTGAAGGAAGAGCTTCTAGTGGTGAGGTAGTGAGTCCTTTGTCAGTGCGCGTGCACTGCTTCTTGCCTTTGCAATTCTCAAGGGGCACACAGGCCGCTGGGATGACATCTTGCAGGAGAGCAAGCAGCAGGAGGGAAAACTTGTGGCGTTCTGATATCATTTGTGACTCACTCTTAAATGTGGTACTGGGAGCGACACTGCTCTGGCTTGCAGTGCAGTTAAAGGTCCTGCCTGAGCCACAGCTTAGGTATGGGGTAAGCGCTTGATAGTCTCTGGCTGAAGTGGGAAGCTCTGGCAGTCAAACTTGGCTGCCTATCACTGAGCTTGAGCCCTCAGTAAGATGAGGATGCTGGGCAGAGTCCTTGGCCCCTAACAGGGTCAGCTCCTGGGTGTCAGAGACCGGTCCCCTTCAGGGGGACCCTCACAATGGCCAGCCACAGCGCCACCAGTAGCCAGATAATGGGAACCTCTGGGTCCTATTGTACACTAACAAAAGCGCCCTGGTTCCATTCTCCTAAATTATTCATGACCTCCAAGAGGCCGTAAAAGTCCTCAGCTCTCTCCAGGAACCATAATTACAATGATAAATTTTATTTATAAAGTCAGTCCCTCCCCACAAGCCTGCCGCCTGGGGGCTGTACATAAGCCATAACGGAGACAGGGGCTGCCGAAAGCCGCTGCGACAGCTGTTTTTCCGGCAGGGACTTGGGGGCTGGCCTGGAGTAGGCTCGGGGATGTTGGAGGGGCAGGGGGCTCAATCTGCCACCTACAGCCTTCTGAGAGTGAAAGCTCAGGAGGGGCGTTTCAGAGTGGTGTGGCTGTGATGGCCATTGCAGAGCCAGGCCCCTGCCCACAGCCTGCTAGCCAGATCCTGTGTAGGCTTTGCTGGCTTTCCATCCTTCCAGGGACCCATGGAAGCAACATGGCTGTGCCTGTGCCAGGACAGAACCTTCCCATGTATCATATATGCTCCAGTTCTCTCATGAGAGCATGAGCAGGCATGTGGACACGCATGAGCAATACTGTCAATCACAAGGGCGCCCGAGGGCTAGGATGGAAGCAGGTTCTTTGCATGTCTTCACGGAGGCCCGCTGAGCTCCAGCCATGACTTCACCAGTTGATAAGGACCCGGGCTCTAAAGAGGCAGTGTCGTGCACAAGGCAGAGCGCTGGCAGCTGACAGCTGCGTCGGAACCATGCAGCTGCTAGACATGGTACAAGATGCTGTTGAGCCAGCGGTGGGGCCCCACATTACCACTGTCACCACGAGGCAGCTAACGCCCAGCTGGTCTCGGCTGAGCCCTCCTCTGTAAAAGCCCTTGCACTGCTGTGCGGGCTACGTGCTGAAATCCAGGTGGGGCGGGCAGATGGACACCTAGGACTAGTCTGCGTTGATACCATTGTGACAGCAGCCAAAAGCTTAGAACTGGATCTCTCGTGGCTCAGACGTGCTTTCTATGTGGGCTTCCTTTTTTGGACACTGGCTGGGTCCCTCACTGGGGTCCCTAGTCCAGGTGAGGGGTACAAGTTCTCCCAACCTTTGCACCATTCACAGGGTGGCCTCACTGAGCAGTCAGGCCCCATGAGGCAAGGCAATAGGAGGGAGGAATGCCCAGACGTGTCGAGAGCTGTCGCATACAGTCTGAGTTGCTCTTGACATCAGGCATCAATACCAACACCATGGTTAGAGTGAGGTTTCAGGGCAGTGGTTCTCAACCTTCCTCATGCGGTGGCCCTTTATTTCAGTTCCTCGTGCTGTGGTGACCCCAAGCCATAACATTACTTTTGTTGCTCCTCCATAGTTGTAATTTTGTTACTGCTATGAATTGTAATGTATATATCTGATATGCAGGATATCTGATATGTGACCCCTGCGAAAAGGTTGTTTGACTCTTCAGCCCAACACAGAGGGGTCATGACCCATAGGTTGAGAACCTTAGAGGATCAGTAAAGAGCCCAGCGAACTTCAGGAGAGTGGGTACAGGATCGTAAACCATCTCTGGAGTCAGACGCAGGGTCCTGGTGCATGCCTGGGGCTGTTTACACTTAGGGTGTGGTGAGCCCTCACATCAGTTTTCTGGCCCAGGAAATAGGGCCATTGGGCCTGACGAAACCCATTCCACCTTTGGCCAAGAAAGTAAGGGCATAGCCCATAAGGGGCATATAGAAACTAGGACCACTTTAAAGACCCAAAGGATGTAGGCTGTGATCCTACCACATCCCTCCTCAGCTCGTGTGGGATCTGATGAACCAGACAGGTCCTGGCAGGTGGTAGATCATGCAGCCCACTGACAGATGGTGATGGATCACCCAGGCTGCACCAATGGCAGATTCACAATGGATCACCTGGCTTAGCTCAAAGGCAGGTCATGACGGATCACCCATCCTAGTCCAAATGGCAGATGATGAGGGATGATTCTGTCTAGCCTAGAGGCAGGTGGTGGTGAGTAACTTGGCCTAGCCTAGTGTCAGCCACCGCTAACCTTGCAGGTGTGGTGCCCAGCGGAAGGAGGACTCTAAACACTCTCCTGCGGGCTGTAAGCCCTGCTCAGGACCCATCAGCAGGAGAGCCACATCTGTTGCTTTCCAGCTGTGACAATGGCAGTGAACACGGCCTAGCTGCCGTCCATACCTCCTTTCTCATTATTCGGTCATCACCCAGTCTCTGAGACCACTCCTGGTCTGCACAGAATGGGTCAGCTACATCCACACCATCCAGCTTGACCTGGCCAGTGTTAGCGGGGCCATTGCAGTCAGAGCTGCATGGCGTCTCTGATAGACCATAGTGACCATGGCGCCATTAGGACAGGGAACTGTGTTCTGCTTCCCCCTGGGGATGGAAGGCTCTGGTCCACTGGGTCTGCCCATCACAGACTAAGACATGTTAGGACACCGGATTCCACACAGGCAGAGGACATTGTTCCGTCAAGTAGGCAGGGAGGTTAGGCTGCCATGAACCCAGTTACTCTACCACACTAAAGCGCTGGGTAGCTGGAGGTGGCGACAACGCCCCAGTCTGCTGGCCAGAAAATCAGAAAAGCCTGAAGTGACTGGTGCCCCCTTAGAGCATAGCTGAGGGCCCCTGTGGGAGGCGGGGGCAAGCACTGCCCACTTGTGGAGTCAGCCTTGCAGGAGAGTGGCATAAACTAACGAGTGCTGGTGGAAGGCTCAAATGATGGTGCAGGGCACGGCGAGGGACAAGGCCTGTAGGGGTGGCTGGAGAGTGTGGCCACAGAGCACAGGCAGTCTGTGCCTGCAGGAGAGGGCAGGCTGGCTGAGGGAGGAGGTGAACCAGCCTGTGGAGGTCCTGGGGCTTAGAGAGAGGGAAGATGTCTCCCTATGGCACAGTGCCCACTTTCCCCCCTGTCTAGTGCTTGCTTCCCAACAGGACAGGGAGGGCAGGGTTAGGGATGGGCTGGGAGCAGCCCCTTTCCCTCTGGCTTCTTGGCCTCCTGAGGCC